CGCCCCCCCAGAGGACCAGGGAGACGCGGGTGGCGGGACCACCGAGACGCGCCGCGGTCCCACCGCCCGCGTCCTCCGCGGCTTTGCTCCACGTCTCCCTGGTCTGCTGGGCCCCCCCCCCCAGCAGACCAGGGAGATGCGGGCAGTGGGACCACAGAGAGGCGCCACGGTCCCGCTGCCCACGTCCTCAGAGGCTTTGCTCCGCGTCTCCCTGGTCTTCTGGGGGGGGGCTCCCCCCCAGCAGACCAGGGAAACGCGGAGCAGCTTTTCTCGCCCCGGAGGACGTGGACGGCGGACGTAAGTCGGATCCGCGTAACTCGGGGACTGCCTGTATTTACATTCTTCAAATATATGTAGACTTATTGTATACCCCATCACATATCCCTTTTGTCGCCGTTAAACAATTAGCCTAACGCAGCTCAGAACAGTATACAAATATTTGAAGGTAAGCCTCAAGTAAGGAGCATGATTTTGTGGAAATGATATATATAATAGACACACACTTTTAACCTTTCTATGTTTAAGTCATCCCTTCAGTTCCCAGTTGCCATTTTCTAAGCTCTTTCCAGTTTATGAACTCCTTCCTGGTAATGGGATGCTCCATACATGCAAACAGTTTATCAGATACTGTCTCACCATTGCTATGTAGACAGGCACTGTGACCAACCCGTTCAATGACCTACTAATTTTGTGAATAAATACCCACTACTTAAACCAGCCCTGAAGCTGAGAAATTCTTAGAAAACTGCATTATTCAAGACTAAAGAAAAACTACAGTGATTCATTTAATACTTTAGACAACTAATAAATTACTAAAAGATACTGTATATTGATAAAAGATATAAAAATGTGCAAACATTTTTATAAATACATGCTGCTTTTTCATCTCATATTTTGAAGTTTGTGGATTCGTTTCTGCAAAATAAAGTCATACTTCACAATTACCTAAAGATACCAAATTTTGCATAAACAATCCTGCCACTTATTATCTGAATGCACCATTTTTTATCCTGGAATATGCTGAGTGAAAGGTTTAAATAATTATTTCTGTTTTCATTGGAAGAAAAGTCTGGCATGATTAGAGTTCATAAAAATATTTGCTAACAAAATTAAAATCACTTATTCAACTGTCATTTTAGTTCGTGCAAAGAAAATGTTTATTGTGAGAAATCAAAAAATAATTTAAATTAGTTAGAGAAAGAGTAATGGAAGTTTTACAAGTTTCTGATTCAAATTTATTATGTATGGTAATTATTCAATAAAATGAATAATGTTTGAAGTTGAAATCATACATAATTTAAAATGTTTTTACGTCCCTTTTGCAAGCACATTAATAAAAAATTCTATTACATATTTTTAATTTCTTGAATTTTCCTTTAAGTGTAATCTATGCAAAATGATTGCCTGCTCTACGATGTGCCTCACCTGCTAGTTATCTATACACTGGGCAGATTGTCTCTCAGTAAGCAGCCTCAGTCTGATGATACAGAGTAGCAATACAAAGAACGTAGCTCCTATCGGAAAGTGTGGGAAATAAAGCAATGTTCAAAATTGTAAAATAAGGGCTGTATTTTTTAAAATACATATAGATTATGAATGAACAATATTAGAATAAGAATTTCTAACATCTGAAAATCCTGTTTCCATGCAATCTAACAGATTTCCATTTCCCATGTTCTACTCCCTATCCTCAGATGGTAGCTTGTTTTTAAGCACTTTATTAAAATTATGTTTAAAATACTTTAATAAACGTGATTTACTCTTTGTAATCAGCTGCTG